TAAGGCTTTCAATAGAGTTCCACACCAGAGGCTATTGAGAAAACTTAAGGCACACGGAATAGGAGGAGAAATTTTTTCCTGGGTAGAGGCATGGCTGACAAATAGGCAGCAGAGAGTTTGCATAAATGGGGAGAAATCAGAATGGGAGCACATCACAAGCGGTGTTCCTCAGGGGTCAGTGTTGGGCCCGTTGTTGTTCACAATTTACATAAATGACAGAGATGAGGGAATAAATAGCGACATAAGCAAATTTGCTGATGACACCAAAATAGGCCATCCTATTCATTCTAATGAGGATCACTAGAGCACTCCAGGATGATTTGAATAGACTGATGCAATGGTCAGAGAAGTGGCAGATGCAGTTTGATATTGACAAATGCAAAGTTCTAGATGTTGGACAGGTAAATAACCATACCACATATAAACTAAATAATGTAGATCTTAATACTACTGATTGCGAAAAGGATTTAGGAGTTCTGGTTAGCAGTAATCTAAAACCAAGACAACAGTGCATTAGTGTTCCCAATAAAGCGAACAGAATTCTTGGCTTCGTATCTAGAAGTGTAAATAATAGAAGTCCTCAGGTTGTTCTTCAACTCTATATATCCTTGGTTAGGCCTCATTTAGACTATGCTGCTCAGTTCTGGTCACGTATTACAGAATGGATATAGAATGGATATAAATGCTCTGGAAAACGTATAGAGGAGGATGACAAAGATGATCCCATGTATCAGAAATCTTCCCTATGAGGATAGACTGAGGGCCCTGAATCTGCACTCTCTCGAAAGGCGTAGAATTAGGGGGGATGTGATCGAGGTGTATAAATGGGAAAGAGGAATAAATAAAGGGGATGTAAATAGCGTGCTGAAAATTTCCAGCCAAGACAGGACTCGCATCAATGGTTTCAAGTTGGAAAAATTCAGATTCAGGAAGGATATAGGAAAGCACTGGTTTGGTAATAGAATTGTGGATGAGTGGAACAAACCCCTGAGTACAGTTATTCAGGCTAAAACATTGTGTAGTTTTAAAATTAGGTTAGATAAATACATGAGTGGGTGTGGGTGGGTGCGAGTTGGACCTGACTGGCTTGTGCTGCTGGGTCTGGTGCCGTGCTCCTTCCTTGAGTGGAGGTGACCAGACTGGGTGGGTCATTGGGCTAATCCGGGGGGGGGGGGGGGTTGTCATTGGGCTAATCCGGGGGGGACACATGGACCTGCTCCACATGGGTCAGTAGGCCTGTTGCAGTGTTCCTTCTTTCTTATGTTCTTATGTTTTTAACTTTAGTAATGTATACAGGAGAAAGGGTTACTAGCCCCTTGCTCCTGACATTTTAGTTGCCTCTTACGACACACATGGCTTACGAAGGAAGAATTCTGTTCCACTTCCCCACGGAGATAAGATGAAATAAACAAGAACAAGAACTAGTAAGAAAATAAAAGAAAACCCAGTGTGGTGTGTATACATATGCTTGTACATGCATGTGTAGTGTGACCTAAGTGTAAGTAGAAGTAGCAAGATGTACCTGAAATCTTGCATGTTTATGAGACAGAAAAAAGACACCAGCAATCCTACCATCATGTAAAATAAATACAGGCTTTTGGTTTACACTCACTTGGCAGGACGGTAGTACCTCCTTAGGCGGTTGCTGTCTACCAACCTACTACCTAGAAAATGTACATTTATTTTATTTAGTTCTCATTGTTTTGTGTATGTAAAACTATAATCTTCAAAAAATGTATTTTTTGTTAATATTTTTGGGTGTCTGGAACGGATTAATTTTATTTACATTAATTCTTATGGGAAATATTATTTCAGTTTTCAGCCATTTCTTTTTTAGGCCAACCTTCTGGAATGGATTATGGCTGATAACCGAGGGTCCACTGTACATTATTTCTTATGGGAAATATTACTTCGGTTTTCGTCCATTTCGGATTTTGACTGACCTTCTGGAATGGATTAAGGACGAAAACCGGGGGTCCACTGTACTTGTAACTACATTGTTCAGAAAAGTCATTACACTACTGTCCTGCTTGTGGAAGGTGAGCAGATAACCATTCTATACAATATTAATAATAATCTTGAATGCTAACAGATTTGTGCAGCTTATTTGTTTTACTGCAGACATTGATTCTGTAATGGATTATTAGTCAGAATTACTTATACAGTGGACCCCCGACATTCGATGGCATCGACAGTCGATAAATCCGACATTCGATGCATTTTAATGCAAAAATTTCGCCTCAACATTAGATGGAAAACCCGACATTCGATACGATTCGTACGAGACGTGTCCACGTGTGGCCTGAACTGCACCATGTGTGCCAGTGTTTACAAGCCAGCCAGTGTGCGCGCATCTAAGGATACATTCGGTACATTCCATATTATCCATATTATCACTGTTTTTGGTGCTTGTTTCTGCAAAATAAGTAACCATGGGCCGCAAGAAAGCATCTAGTGCCAACCCTTCGAGAAAAAAGGTGCTAATGACTATTGAAATGAAGAAAGAGATAATTGCAAAGTACGAAAGTGGAGTGCGTGTGTCAGAGTGCATGATGATTCGGTAAAAAATTGCCTGCAACTAGTGGTGATGTAAGTGAATTTAAGGCCAGCAAAGGTTGGTTTAAAAGATTTAAGAATCGTAGTGGCATACACAGTGTGGTAAGGCATGGTGAGGCTGCCAGTTCAAGTCCTAATGGAAGGGGATTCCCCTTCTAAACACTAACACCATCCACACACTCCCCTCCTCCCATCCCATCAATCATCACCAGATCTTTATTAAAGGTAAGTGTCAATTATTCTATTGTTATTAATCTATTGTTATTGTTGTTATTGTAATTATTTTATTGCATTAAACTTAATATTTCATGTGGTAAATTTTTTTTTTCATACTTTTGCGTGTCTTGCATGGATTAATTTGATTTCCATTATTTCTTATGGGGAAAATTAATTCGACTCGATATTTTCGACATTCGATAGCTCTCAGGAACAGATTAGTATCGAATGTCGAGGGTCCACTGTAATCCATTACAGAATCAATGTTACTTACAGTAGAAACAAAATATATATATTCTTCTACATTCTTTGTAAATATTTGAATACAGTCAACCCTCAACTAATGGGAGCATTAAGTTATGGCAGTTTCGTCTAACGGCACTTTTTTTCATAGAAAAAATGCCTTAACCAACGATGAAAAACTTAACCAAAGACGTTCATCCGAAACATGTCCTGAGTGGGCCCAGCTACTCCAAGACTCAGTGTGCCATTGTTTACAAGCTGTTGTGGTTGGTGTCCACGTGTGCCTCCCATACATTTTGGATTATTCCACTGTTTCTAGTGCTTGCAACTGATAAATAAGCCACTATGGGCCCCAAGAAAGCTTTTAGAGCCAGCCCTTTGGTAAAGGATGTGAGAAACACGATAGAATTCAAGAAAAAGTTGGTAGAAAACTACGAAAGTGGTGGTGGTAGAGGGTGGTTGTGATGGTGGTAGAGGGTGATAGTGATGGTGGTAGAGGGTGGTACTGGTTGTGATGGTGGTAGAGGGTGGTAGTGATGGTGGTAGAGGGTGGCACTGGTTGTGATGGTGGTAGAGGGTGGCACTGGTTGTGATGGTGGTAGAGGGTGTTCCAGTGATTCTCAAGCTAGTCCTAGTGGCATTAAAAAATCAAGAAGGGAGGTAACCCCATCAAAGGACTTGGTACCTGAAGTCTTTATGGAAGGGGATTCTTCTTCCAAGCAATAGACAATCCTGAATCTCCCCTGCTGCTGGCACATCACTCATCAACAACTCCACAATAAAGGTAAGTGGCATTTAATTATTGTTTATTTTGCATGTCCCATTCCTTTTCATATAAGGAAATGCATATTTCATATAATTTTTTTTTCAGACTTTGGGGTGTCAGGAATGGATTAATTCTGTTTCCATTATTTCCTATGGGGAAAATTAGCTCAACCAACGGCAATTTCGACAAACGGCAAGCCCTCTGGAACGGATTAATGCCATTGATTGAGGGTCCACTGTATTTAAATAATATATTTGTGTATAGCTTCAATGTTCAAGTAATTCTCCCTTATGTAAACATCCCTAGCTATGTTATCATTGTCATATTTTTTTTTACTTGTAGTATCATTAACTATTATCACATGTTCCATGGTTAATGTACAGTGATGCAGAAGAAATATAGAAAAGTTAGAAATCCATAAAATCTTTAGTGATCAGTTATAAAATTTAAATGACTCAAGATGAACTGGCAGGCAGCTGGCTGGATGAAGGTGGTGGGTTGTGAGGAGCTGGGCAGAACGTGACAATCATCTAGTTGGGCACAAGAAACTATAATTTTCCTTATTTTTGTGTTGAGAAGCTTTTCGGAATGCCTTTTCAACATAATGTATAATGTACATGTAGGTATCCCATGCAGTTTAATTGCCAAATATTTAACCCTTAAACTGTCCAAGCAGATCTATGTTCACATGCGTAGTGCTCCAAAAGTAGATCTACGTTTTTTTTACATATTTTCAAATATAACAAAAAAAAAATGTAGATCAAAGTTTTTTTTACACATTTTCAAATGTAAAAAAAAAGAAAAGATCTACTTTTTTTCCATACTTTCAAACGTTGAAAAAATGTAGATCTACGTTATTACAGTTTAAGGGTTAATCTCGTTGCTTATCATTGAATATATTTTCTTTGTACAATTTGATTAAATTAGTAATTTACTCCAGCATTAATTATTTTATAGCATTTACAGCCATTTAAGAATATGTGCTCTCTTTATATAACTGTAACATCACTTTGATTCTTCTTTCATATTTGTTCTTTGCATATGTGCTCTTGTAAATCTTAAATCTCTGAAAAATTAGTCTCTTAAAAAATGATTTCATCAGTACCCATTCACTTTTGGAAAACTGTTGGAAAATGCTATATCTCTTTATTCTTTTGCTAAAAAAATGCTGAGAGTTTTGAAACTCCTAAAATATCAGCATTTTGTTTGTAATTGGCAGGTCCCCTTTTGATATTGAGAGAGTTATACCTGCTTGTCATATGCTGGAAGGAACTCATGATTTTGCTACATATGGGGCTGCTCTTTCCAAGGGTAGCTTTCCAAGGGAAACTACAAGATTTATTCATAAGGTAAAACTATACAGTAGTGAGATGTATTCATTAGTTTTAGATCAAGTGATTTGGCATGGAAAACTGCTCTCGTGATGAATTTGAATACTGTATGGCATTATCTGTATGAGAACACAGCTGCAGTACTTTTATCTTTTATACGGGCAATGTTGGTTTTCATTGCATTAGTGCTTATACCACAGGCTCTGTTTTCTTTTAAAATCCTTGTACATTTTTTGGAAGCTTCTCTTCAGTCTTTCATACATGTGTAATTAACTTTTTCATTATGTAATTAACTTTTTCATCATTCTCTTGTAAATTTGTAATTTTCCTTCACTTCTCTATATAAGCTATCGTCTGTTCTGTAAGTCAATCATCTATTTTTGTCTTAGAAGAAATAAGTAGTAGACCAGTTGGTTGCAGTTATTGGTGATTCATTTGATGGTGTTATTTGTCTAGGTAGTAGGTTGGTAAACAGCAACTGCCCAAGGAGGTACTACTGTCCTGCTAAGTGAGTGTAAAACAAAAGCCTGTAATTGTTTTACATGATGGTAGGATTGCTGGTGTCTTCTGTCTGTCTCGTAAACATGCAAGATTTCAGGTACGTCTTGTTACTTCTACTTAAGTCACACTACACATACGTGTACAAGCATATATATACACACCCCTCTGGGTTTTCTTCTATTTTCTTCCTAGTTCTTGTTCTTGTTTATTTCCTCTTATCTCCATGGGGAAATGGAACAGAATTCTTCCTCCGTAAGCCATGCGTGTTGTAAGAGGCGACTAAAATGCCGGGAGCAAGGGGCTAGTAACCCCTTCTCCTGTATAGATTACTAAATTTAAAAAGATAAACTTTTGTTTTTCTTTTTGGGCCACCCTGCCTTGGTGGGATACAGCCGATTTGTTAAAAAAAAAAAAAAATTGTCTATAGTTATGTAAAATAACTATCTGGTTATGTATGTTTGTCATGTTCCTAGTATTCTTTAGTAAATATTTCAGGTACCAATGCAAAGACATTGATCTTTGAAAATGTGGAAAATCTTACTGACAAAAAATGTTTAAAGATGCTTCATGTGGGTGACAGATTCAACAATTTTGACTCACCTCAGTTTCATCCTTATTCACTCCTCATGGGAAATTTCCTTAAATATGTATAGTATCAGTTGCATTTTGAATTAATTTCAGTCTGTTTTATTGGTTTTTAATGGGTCGGCTTCAATTACTTGGATAGGCTAAACCATTACCAAGCTTTCTTTGTTATGATTTATTAAGCTGAGAAGTGATTTTTTTTTTTTTTTTTTTTTGTGTGTGTGTGTGTGTGTGATGATAGATTCAAAATGGAGGGCAAGTGTTATATAGAAGAGGCCTGATGACTGATGAACAGAGGGAAGGTTGCTATAGTGGCTGCAATGCTTACAATGTTTGTTTTGGACTCTGTTTATAGATTGGAATTTGTTGAAAATAGTGTAAAATTAGTCAAATTACCAATTTCTGGGGGCTTTTTAGGGTAGTTTGATAGTTGAATAGGCAGTGTTTTGCAATCAATGGATAGTACAGATGAAATACTAGCAAAATAGCCAAGAATTGAGCCAGTTTAAGCATTGGAATTGGCCTAAAATAAACCTCAAAGTTGGGCAATATTACTGTTGTGTAAATTGCTCCCAACTTTTAACTCTGTGTCTTTGTAATTCCATAAGCATTACATCAGATTTTGCATTTTTTGTCTTTAGAAAATGATTCTCTACTATTTTAGAAGTTTTTTTTTTTTTTAAGAATGCTGTCACGGTGTGAACAGTCGAATGGCTAAAAATTAGGTGCCGTTACACATCCATGGATCCATAGCTGTATTATTCTTGAGGAAAGCCAAGTGTTGTCTCAGAACTGTAATTGCAACAATGACATTCAATTTAACCCTTTCAGGGTCCAAAGGTTAAATTTCAAAGGGTGCACCAGGGTCCAAGAATTTTCAAAAAATAATTTTATTTTTTTATGAAATGGTAGAGAACCTTTTTCTAAAGGTAATAAAACAAAAAGTACGAAATTTGAAGGAAAATTGACAAAACTATGCTCTCACGAATTTTAGTGTGTCAGCGATATTTATGCACTGGCGAGTTTGCCAACTTTGACTCCCATTCCAGGCCAATTACATTATTCCAGCTGACCAAATTCTTAGCTATTTCACTAGTATTACTTTTATTCTATCAATTGAGCACAAGAAATCGCCAAGTCAACTGTTTCAACTACAAAATAAAGTGATCGGAAATTGGTAATTTGGCCAATTTAATGTAAAGTTCAGAATATTCCAATTTCAAAATAGGGTCCAGAATAAACAATGCAGGCATTCCTGGCACTAAACTAACATTTCCTCTGTTCATTAGTTACGTTTTCAGGCTTTACAAATGAATTCCATTTTGATTTTTTATTCACATAATGAATTTTTATTCAAACCAAAACATAGAAAATTTACTGTTATGCAATATTGTAATAACTGTATAAATAATATCACCACATTTGTGAACGTATATTAGACCCACCATCTGGCGTGTATTAGACGTTTGACGTCACTTGTTTACTCTTGAATATCAAAAACTAAACATTTCTGCTACTTTGAGCTCAGTTTCAAGCCATTTTCAGTATTAAAACCAATCAAAATCATCTCTATTTCTGTAATATTTCTTCCTTTCTATCAAATGAGACCAAGAAATCGCAAATACACCTACCATCCGACTTACGACCTGCTCGACATACGTCCACTCGACTTACGACCGTGCATCTGGCAGCTGGGCTGGGCCGGCTGATGCACACCGCTGTACAATATTTGACATTACTCGCGGCGGCAATGCGTCATGCAGGCAGCATCAGTTTGAGTAACCCTGCCCTATCAGCAGCATCATACTGTATTAACTGTACTAACTGGACAGTAAATTTCACCATAGCCCCTAAGATGATGTCTGAATCTTGCACTGGAGATTGTGGCAAGAAAGGCTCTTACTCTCAAACTCTCTCTTTGTTTTCACTGTTGCACATAAACCTGTCTGTATCTGTCTGCTTGTATATCTGTGTATCTCTGTGTGTCTATTTATCTGTCTGTCTACCTGTGTCTGTGTCTACCTGTGTGTCTGTCTTTGTCTACCTGTGTGTGTCTTTCTGTCTACCTGTGTGTCTGTCTACTTGTGTCTCTCTCTTTCTGTCTACCTGTGTGTGTCTTTCTATCTACCTGTGTGTCTTTCTGTCTACCTGTGTATGTCTTTCTAAATAAAAAAAGGCACAATACCGTGACTGGAACGATACACAAATAACCCGCACATAAAAGAGAGAAGCTTACGACGACGCTTCAGTCCGACTTGGACCATTTACAAAGTCACACTAACCAGAAGTGGAGCAGGATGACTATGTATAGGCAGGAAGAGGTGGTGGTAGTAGTAGTAGTAGAACAAGAATGGTATATAACACCGACAAGATGAAATTAAGACACATGCGCAACACCCGGGCATCCCTATCGTAGATGTTTCGCCATCCAGTGGCTGGCTGGATGGCGAAACGTCCACAACAAAGACACCCAGATGCCACACATGTGTCTTAATTTCATCAGTAGTAGTAGTAATAGTAGAAGAGGTGGTAGTAGTAGTGGTAGTGGTAGAAGTGGGGAATAAGGAGGACGAGCCAGTCAAATACAAAGGAAGGGGAGCACTGCAAGAGAGCTAGGTGCCCACAGAGGGAGAGCAAGTGCACAGAGGTGCATGAAAGGGGAAGTGGTGAAATAAATGAAGAAGGAACAGAAACACGAGACAGAAGAGAGAAAGACAACCCAGAGGAGAAAAAGGAAAGAGGAAAGGGGAAGAGGGAGAAGAAGAAAAAGAAAAAGAAAAAATGAGGAGTCAGGTTAAGTCACGGGTGTTCTGAAGTTTGGAGCATTTTACAATGTAGTGGGAGAGGAAGGCATCTACAGAGACGAAGCCAGGGCTAAGATTCATACAAGGAAAGTTGTGTATTAGAGAGGATTCAACTAGACGGCGACTGTTCGAGTTGGAAGTAGGGAAGACAGTTTTAGCAGAAGACCAGTCAATAGGATGGCTATGATCTCTGACGTGACAGAAAAGAGTATTGTTCATGTCGGCAAGCCTAACACTATTTTTGTGCTCCCTAAGTCTGTCAGAAAGAGATCGACCAGTTTCTCTGAAGTATTGAAGAGGACAGGAGGAGCAAGAAATAGAGTAGACACCAGGAACATCTGTAGAGGGAGGAGAGGTATGAACGACTGTACACTGACATTCACTTATCCAAGAGAAGAAATATTCCCTGAGGTCTCTACAAGTACCCAGGTGGTGATAAATGTCAAGACACACTAATGCATGTGGGACACTGATTTGCCAGTGATGTAGATGATCAAAACAATTTCATAAAAAATCACCAAAGCAAATACTCTGTGAGACTTTAAAAAAATTGGATCTGCAATCAACGCTTGGAAAGTGTTGTCCTAGCATTAAAACACTGATATATTAGGTAAGAAATCATTTTTTACAGTAATAAGTAACTTATGCTTCCCTAGAATGTAACAAGACATGAGTGTAAAAATTATAGGGAATCAGTCTCATTAAATATAATGTACCATGTAATGTCAATGACAGAATTACGATTAACCCTTTCAGGGTCCAGAGGCCAAATTTCAAAGTGCACACCAGGGTCCAAGAATTGAAAAAAAAAAAATGTTAGTTTTTCTTATGAAATGGTAGAGAACCTTTTTCTGAAGGTAATAAAACAAAAAGTACGAAATTTGATGGAAAATTGACGAAATTATGCTCTCAAGAATTTTGATGTGTCAGTGATATTAACGAGTCAGCGATTTTGCTGACTTCGACTCCCATTTTAGGCCAATTACATTATTCCAGTCGACCAGATTCTTAGCTATTTCACTAGTATTACTTTTATTCTATCGACTGAGCACAAGAAATCGCCAAGTCAACTGTTTCAACTACAAAATAAAGCGATCGGAAATTGGTAATTTGGTTAATTTAACACAAAGTTCAAAATATTCCAATTTCAAAGTAGGGCCCAGAATAAACAATGTAGGTATTCCTGGCACTAAACTAACATTTCCTTTGTTCATCAGTTACATTTTGAGGCTCTACAAATGAATTCCATTTTGATTTTTTATTCACATAAAGAACTTTTATTCAAGCCAAAAAATAAAAGATTTACTGTTATGCAATATTGTAATTATTGTATAAATGTCATCACCACATTTGTGAATGTATATTAGACCCACCAGCTGGCATGTATTAGACATGAGAGGTTGTTTGTTTACTCTTGAACATCGGCAAAAATTTAACATTTCCACTACTTTGAGCTCAGTTTCAAGCCATTTCCAGTGCTAAAACCAATCAAAATCATCTCTATTTCTGTAATATGTCTTCCATTCTATCAAATGAGACCAAGAAATCGCAAATACAACTATAAAAAACATACGAAAAAACACTGCAAAGTCGCTGTTTTAATCGAAAATCACGGTCTCAGTTTTTTTCTCTCATTACACAGTGTGTGCTGCAGGATTTGTTTTATATGGTGCACACATACCACATAGATGTATTCTCTCATATCTAGGCCCAAATTTACCACTCACAGCTTATCAGAGTGAGCTGAGCTCATGGCGTAGATCTACGGTTTGGACCCTGAACGTAAAGCCGTAGATCTACGGCACGGACCCTGAAAGGGTTAATTTTAGTGTTTTTACTCTTGTTTTTTAACCCTTTGACTGTTTTGGTCGTATATACAGTGGTCCCTCATTTATCGTCGTTAATCCGTTCCTGGAAGTGCGACGATTATCGAAAAAGACGATTTTTTAATCAATTTTCCCCACGAGAAATAATGTAAATACAATTAATCCGTTCCTGACACCCAGAAGTATTAAAACAAAAAATTTTTATACATGAAATATAGATGTAGTACATAAACAATACAATGGGACATGATGAATGAAACATTAACAGCATAACACTTACCTTTATTGGCGATTCTTCTTAGTGTATGGAAGACTGGAGGAGGAGAGAGATTGGATTAGTTACTGTTTGGAAGGGGAATCCCCTTCCATCAGCACCTCAGGTACCAAGTGCTTTTCTGGGGTTACTTCTCTTCTCTGTTTCTTAATTCCACTAGGACCAGCTTGAGAGTCACTGGAGTCCTGTCTCACAAAAAAAGTGTCCAGAGAGCTCTGTTTCTTCGCAAAACTTTAAAACTTCCCTAAAATGGGCCAAGACTCTGTCACTGTACAAGTTGCCGATATGGCTTGCAACATCCTTCTCAGGGTGATGTTTCTCCATAAATCTTTCCATCCTACCCCTCATTTCACCATGCCTAATCACACTCTGTATGCCACTTCGCTTCTTAAATCTCTCAAACTAACCTTTGCTGGCCTTAAATTCACAATTATCAGTACTAGTTGCAGGCACTTTCTTTACCAGATCATCATGCAACTGCCTAGCCTTTTCACAAATAATTGATGTCATAAGAGTATCTCCTGCTAATTGTTTCTTGTTTATCCACACCAATAATAACTTCTCATCATCTTCGAGTACTGGTGATCTCATTTTTGTCAGCATATTTGCCCCCTTTGCAACAACAGCTTCCTTGATTTCCTTTTTCTTGGCCACGATGGAAGATATGGTTGTACGGATTTGTTATACATCCTGGCCAGTTTGGCCACACGTACGCCACTTTTATATTGTTCAATTATGTTTTTCTTAAATTCAGTCGTATTTCTCACTTTCTTTACCAAAGGCTTGGCACTAGGAGCTTTCTTTGGAGCCATGGTAGCTTATTTAGCACTTGCAAGCACTAAAATGAATGGAATATTATGAAATATTTTGTATGAACAAGTGAGGGGACCGTCGCTCACTGGTAAACAATGGCACACTGGCTGGGAAGGGAGGCCGAGGTGGCTCAGAGCACGAGTACGCATCCCAGACGAAGGACGATTAGCGAGTAAACTGACCATTTGCGAGCCAATGTTTGGATGAGAATAACACGACGATTTCCGAAAAGGACGACTATCGAGCCGGACGATTATTGAGGGACCACTGTATGTATGTCTTACGCGCCACTGTTTCGGACGTATTAATTCGCGTAAATTCTAGCGGCTTCAAATCAAGCAGGAGAAAGCTGGTGGGCCCACATGTGAGAGAATGGGTCTGTGTGGTCAGAGTGAAACACATAAAAAAAAATCCTGCAGCATGCAGTGCATAATGAGAAAAAAAAAAATGACTGTTTTTATGGATTAAAATGCCGAATTTGAGGTGTATTTTCGTATAGTATTTATCGTTGTATTCTTGTTTTCATGGTCTCCCATCATAAAATGGAAAACATATTACATCATGAAACATATTAGTTTCACGATGAAAACGACCTTGAAAATGAGCTCAAAGTAGCAGAAATATTCGATTTTTACCAATGTTCAGGAGTAAGCAAATCTCACCACACATCCAATACACATCATCTGAGGAGTCTAATATTCTTTCACTAGTGCACTGATATAATTTTTACAATAATGCAGTAGTCTGCATAACAGTAAATTTTGTATTTTTGTATGAATAAAAAATAAGAATAGAAAGCAATAGTAATATAAGGGGGGCCTAGAGATGTGACTAATGAACAGAGGATATGTTATTTTAGTGCCAAGAATGTCTACATTGTTTATTCTGGACCCTATTTTGAAATTGGCATCTTTTTTAATTTGCGTGAAATTGGCCAAATTGCCAATTTCTGACCACTTTATTGGGGAGTTCAAATCGGTAAATGGGCGGTTTCTTGTACTCAACTGATAGAAAAAGTGGAGTTCTAAAGAAATAGCTATGAGTTTGGTCAACTTTAACAATGGAATTGGCCAAAAACATGGCTCAAATTTGGTGAAATTGCCGATACATACATGTCGCCGAGACCGCTAACTTCGCGGGAGCATAATTCCATGAGTTTTCTACCAATTTTTGTACTTTTGGTGTCATTACCATCAGAAAAGATTCTCTATCATTTCATAAGAAAAAAAATAATTTTTTTTTTTCCAAAAATTTTGTGACACAGAATGACAGTTTCAGAAAGGGGCTTGCGACAGTCAAAGGGTTAATGTCACATTGAATTTTTGGTTTCTTATTCTGAAAAAATTACTTATTTGGAAAGGCTGCTAATTCCAGTAATATTAGGTTAATGATAATGTACTACTGTATTTTATGTCCTTGAAGTCTTCTCAGTTGATTTTATGAAGCTTCGGTTCATGAAGCTCGATGAAATCTTTTTTAAGTGTGTATTTTTCTGACTAAGAATTGATATACTGATTTATTTTCCAGATATCTGTGACACCAGGCCGACCCTCACTAGATCCATGTTATGACCCACAATCTTCTCGACCTCCAGTTTTGGGATATTACTATCAAAGGCAGCTCATTCTTATATAAACAGGTTAGTTATGATGAAGGAATACTTTGGTGTCTTATGTAAAGCTAAACTAGAATAATAGATCTTAGCCTATAAAATTTAATTAATTTTTTCTAGTGTGTGCACCTGAGTGTGCGTGTTTGCATGCATGTGCCTGAGTGTGTTTTTGTATATGTTGTCTGTGCATGTGTGTGTGTGGGCACATGTACAGTACGACCCCGCTTTACGGCATTCCGCTAATGGGGCCATTTCAAATTATGACCAAAAGTTCCTGTACAGCTCCCCCCGCCTGACTTTCTAATACGGTCGCCACATGTCACTCCACCCGGTTTGTTTACATTCTCCACAAGCATCTCTCTCCATTATGTCTGGAAACTTCCCAGAATTTCGAGGGTCTTAAAGTTATTGCATATTTTATATATACTCTGATAATTATACTTACATGTATGTATATCTGAACCTAAGTAAACTTACACACTGTCCTGGAGTGCAGGTACACATTAACCCTTTGACTGTCGAAGGGCCCAATCCTGAAGTGTCTCCTGGTGTCGCAAAATATTCGAAAAAAAAAAAAAATTATTTTTTCTTATGAAAATGTTAAGATTATTTTTCTGATTGTTTTAGTCCCCCCAAAAAAATTTTTCCCATCAGTACTTACGGAGATATAGAGGCATGAAGTTTGCAGAAAATGAGCCGCGTATGGCAACAGCGGCGACTGCCGCTCACCCGGTAAACTTTAGTTTACTTGTATTTGAAGGTTTGTTGTTTTTTTCACTATTTTATTTTTTCACATAACTTATGTGGCCTGTGAGACCAAAGTAAGGTGCAATGTACATATATACACTCGTTGTATACAACACAATAAGCACACAAACATAATTATCAATATATTGTTTACAAAACTTGTTTACAAAAACAAACAATACAAAAAATTTTTTATTACTATTGTTCTATAATATATATACCAATATACAGTCACTGAACATACTCCTAGAAGTTCTGCAGCTTGTGGAACTCTGTGAAACATGGTGTCATACACAGTGGTGTTTTACACTCTTACACATAAAACATGGTGTCATACACAGTGGTGTTTTACACTCTCACACATAAAACATGGTGTCATACACGATGGTGTTTTACACTCTCACACATAAAACATGGTGTCATACACAGTGGTGTTTTACACTCCTCACACAAAACATGGTGTCATACACAATGGTGTTTTACACTCTCACACATAAAATCAGTGTGTGTGCATTTTTGTTGAATTTTTTTGTTATGTGCAAAGACAAAATGCCTCGTCTGAGCAGTTTTCTTCAAAGTATTAGCAGGCAGTTGTGTTATGTAGTTATCCTAGGTAAATGGTCGTGTGTCATCATTCCTTCCTAATTTCCTTCATTCCTTTCCTACCTGGAGGCTACCTGGAGGGCATTCCACCTCTCTTCCTACATTCCTTCATCTGTCCTTCATTACTTTTTTCCTTCCTTTCATCTAGTCCTTCCTTCATTCCTGCCTTCCCTTCTTGCTTCTGGTTTCTATAATATATATACACATATATAGTCACTAGATACTTTCATAAAACTTCTATTATCACCCTTCAGCAAGCTTATCTTGTGTGGGAGTGTGTGGCTTATAATTGTTTTGAGTCAGGAGTCAGCAGCTGTCAAAATGACATATTGTCTCATTACTCACTCCCCCCTACCGCCTGTCAAAACAATGGGGTCGGATGCTGCTTCCCCCTCCATTCTATCTAATTATCTTTCTCCCTCATTCTATCTCTTTCAATCTGTCTCTCTTTCTCTCTCTCTGTCTATCTCTGTCTCACAGGTACACATAAATACAACTATACATAGTGTAAATTACCTAGGATAACCCAAAAAATCCAGACAAAGTTCTATACTCTGCTTGAAGATGTGAGTAAAGGTGATGATGACAGTCTTGTGGCTCTCTCTGAGACAGAGCTAGACAGATAGACAGGGAGTTTGGCAGACAGACAAATAGACAGACAGACAAATGTTTGTTTGTCGTCATCTTCTCCTCCTCCTCCTCCTCCTCCTCCTCCTCCTCCTCCTCCTCTCCTCCTCCTTTCCCCCTCCTCCCCCGACTCCCCCCTCTCCTCCTCCCTCCCCCCTCCCCCTCCGACTCCTCCTCCTCCTCCTCCTCCCTCTCCGACTCCTCCTTTCCCCCGACTCCTCCTCCTCCCCGACTCCTCCCCTCCGCCCTTCCTCCCCCCCCTCCTCCTCCTCCCCTCTCCTCCCTCCTCCTCCTCCCCCCCCCCTCCCCCCTCCCCTCCCCCTCCTCCTCCCTCCTCCCCCTCCCACCTCCCCCTCCTCCTCCTCCGACCCTCCTCCCCTCCGACCCCCCTCCTCCTCCGACTCCTCCTCCGATCCTCCTCCCCCCCTCCACTCCTCCCCTCCTCCCCCCCTCCCACCCTTTCCCCCTCCCCTCCCCTCCCCCTCCTCCTCCGACTCCTCCTCCTCCGACTCCTCCTCCTCCGACTCCTCCCTCCTCCCCCCGACTCCTCCTCCTCCTCCTCCTCCGACTCCTCCTCCTCCACTCCTCCTCCTCTCCTCCTCCTCCGACTCCTCCTCCTCCGACTCCTCCTCCTCCTCGACTCCTCCCTCCTCCTCCGACCCCTCCTCCTCCGACTTCCTCCTCCTCCTCCCGACTCCTCCCCTCCGACTCCTCCTCCTCGACCTCCTCGACTTCCTACTCCCTCCTCCGACTCCTCCTCCTCGACTCCTCCGCCTCCTCCTCCGACTCCCTCCTCCGACTCCTCCTCCGACTCCTCCACTCCGACTCCTCCGACTCCTCCTCCTCCTCCGACTCCTCCATCCTCCGACTCTCCTCCTCTCGACTCTCTCCTCCGACTCCTCCTCCGACTCCTCCTCCGACTCCTCTCCGACTCCTCCTCCGTCCTCCTCTCCTCCGACTCCTCTCCTCCTCCTCCTCCGATCTCCTCCTCCCTCCGACTCCTCCTCCGACTCCTCCTCCGACTCCTCCTCCTCCGACTCCTCCTCCTCCTCCGACTCCTCCTCCTCCGACTCCTCCTCCTCCTCCGACTCCTCCTCCTCCTGGCTCTTGACAGATGGACACCTGCCCCCCTCCCTCCACCCTCCTTTACCCTCATCAAATGTCAGCTCTTATCAGATGTTATCTCCCCTTATCTTGTCACTGTCATGGGGTGAACTGTTTTCATGCCTCAAGGGAACATATTATTACATATTATTATTATTAGGTATTGGGTATTATAATTTTTATTATTCTTATTCTTCTTCTTATTCTTCTTCTTCTTCTTCTTCTTCTTCTTCCTCCTCCTTCACCTTCCTCCTCCTCCTCTCCTCCCTCCTCCTCCTCTCCCCTCCTCTTCCTCCTCCCTCCTTCCTCCTCCTCCTCCTCTCTCCTCCCTCCTTCCTCTCCCCCTCCCTCCCTCCTCCTCCTTCCCTCCCTCCTTCTTCCTCCCTCCCTCCTTCCTCCTCCTCCCTCCTTCCTCCTCCTCCCTCCTTCTTCCTCCTCCTCTCTTCCTTCCTCTCTTCCCTCCTCTTCTTCTCCTCCTCTTCCTCCTCCTCCTCCTCCTCCTCCTCCTCCTCCTCACCTCCTCCTTGCTTTTGGTCCTCAACTCCTCAAAATCAGAAATTGATCTTCATGACACTTCCATCTGTGTTAGAGCATCACTTGGGAAGAGAAGAGCCCAGATTGCAGGAAGTCACATATTTCTTACCGCTAGACATGCTGAAAAAGGACGACTGAAATGGTATTCCCACAATGCACCACTGGCTTCCCCGATTTTTTTTTATGGTGCACTAACCATGGACCATTCTCTCACATGTGGCCTACCAGCTTTCTCCTCCCTTGATTTGGAAACCCTCAAAATCATGTAATTGATCTTCAACACCCATCTGTGTTACGACCTCACTTGGGAAATTAAAGAGTCCCAGTCTTTGCAAGGTAAGTCAACTCTTTCTTCAACCGTAGCACCCTAAAAAGCACTGAAAGGTTGCCCAAAAGCAAAACGGCTGAATTTTTTATTCCTTTAAATTTAGACCATTCTACAAGTGGGCTACCTAGCCTTCTCCCGCGATTTGATGCCCCTTACAATGCTATGCGTTAAGATAAAAATCTGTTCTCCCTAATGAGTAAATAAACGAACAAGAATTAAAGGAAAATTATAAAGAAAAACCCAAGGGGTTGTGCATAATAATGTACAATATATATATTATCCTACTGTAATTCAACACACACCGTATCCCAAAGCATGTTTATGAGACAGACAAAAGACACCAGCAATCCTACCATCATGTAAAACAATTACAGGTTTTCGTTGTACACTCACTTGGCAGGACGGTAGTACCTCCCTGGGCGGTTGCTGTTTACCAACCTACTACCTAGGAATAATCACTCTTGGGCACATTAAATTGTCTTAATTTACATTAATAGACATTTTCATTAATCCATACGTATATTTTTTTTCTTTGAAATTATGTAAGAAACACTTTAAATAGCATATAAATATGATACATACACCCACAGTACAATAAATTTCACATAAATATGAGATGTGGTAGCTGGGGGGAGGGAAAAAAATTGTGTTTTCTCTGGTCCAGCACCAGAGAAAATGTGTATCAATCCGCATTTGGCCCAGTGACTCCCCTTAACACATTCAGCTTTGTTTACAGTTCTCAGCACGACTTCTCATTACCTCTCCCTTCATTTATGATGTCAACTGAAGGTAGTCGTTAGAAATGATTACACTCAGTGAACAAGGTATGTCGATGGTAAAATATCACCCTGGGCCACTTTAAATATCATACAGCTATGTAGGTAGGTGTAGCTATGTAGCCCTGGCAGGCTACATAGCTATACCTACTGGCTACCTACACCTGACTTCCTACAAATAAATACTACTCACCTCTCATCCTAAATTAAGACTACACATATTTTAAGGTAAGTAATGAGAGTACTGTATGTGTATTTTATCACTGGGCTGCTTTAAATATCGTATATTACGTTTGGGAGGGCCACCTACACCTACGGCTACCTACAAATATATACTACTCACCTCTCACCCTACATTAAGACTACAAATATTTTAACCCTTAAACTGTCCAAATGTAGATCTACGTTTGCGCACGTAGCGCTCCGACCTTGATTTTCTCCATAGGAAAGAATGTAAAAAAATGTAGATCTACGTTCGGAGCGCTACGCGAGTGAAAGTAGATCTACGTTTGGACAGTTTTAGGGTTAAGGTAAGTAATGAATGTACTGTGTACGTATTTTACTTTTTATTGTTTTTTAATGCCTGATTGTATTGTTTAATATATGGTAGTGTAAACTTATTATCTGGCATTTGTATGCATTTACAAGTGGAAAAATGGTGTTCTGCTTACTGGCAGTAGCCTGGAACCTAACCTGCCATGTAAGTGGGGCCCTACAGTACACTCACCTATATGTGGTTGCAGGTGTGAATGCACACGTGGGTGTATATATGTGCAAGCTGTGACGGACCTACATTTTTGGGACCCTGAAGCTTGAACTTTTATGGGTCACCTTTGCAACCAGCAATGGCTAGCCTTCATGTTACTTTAACTATTATTTTGTATTGAATTATAATATAGTATTTTTTAAAAAATCATTCTTATACAGTAGACCCAAAATCTTTAAGCAATGTTGACTAAAGTCGATTCTGGGACCCTCCAGGATTAGGGGCTCTGAAGCTTAAGCTTCATTAGTTTCATAATAGATCTACCCCTGTATGTGTGCGTGCATGTGCGTGCGTGCATACTGTGTGCATGTGCATGTTTGTTTTTAAGTTTGTTGTCCCTTTCCCTTGTTTGCCTGTTTGTCATAGAGCCATTTTGCTGTTGAATTGTTATTAAATGTTCACTTATATGGAATCTCAGGTCCGAAGAACAGTTGGCGCGTTAGTGGCCTTGGCTCAAGGCCGCATTTCCTTGGATGATGTCAAGTATATGTTGGAAAATCCTTCCCCACACAACTGGAATTCACGTGTTGAATCAGCACCTCCACATGGTCTTTTTCTTCTAAGAGTTGAGTATCCCCAACATGTTCTTTCTATGGAAAATTTACAAAGTGATGATGACACAAACAAATTAAAAGCGGAAAGTGTTGAAAATAATTCTGACATTGATGTGAGACAGAAAAGTCAAGAAGAATAACTAAAATCTTTTGTGTAAGAATTTTGTATAATACAAGAATTTGAGTATACTTAGCTATCATTAATTAAATGATATGAAACAAATTATGGGCACTGTAACACATACAAGGTCTATTAATATTTATTCAAGAAGAATCAAGTAGTAAAACAAGTTTCAAATACTCGAAATGTATCACCGAAATCTCTATATCAAAGAAACAGTATATGTAAGACAAAGACAGACAAGTTTTGAAAATGAAATTTGAGAAACTATACAGTTTGTAATTTGAGAATAGATCTCTTATTTTATTATTGACTGCAGTTGCATAACTGATTTTTTGTGTACAGTACTTATAGCATTTTCAATAATGTCAAGTTTAGCACAACAACTGACTGCCAAAAAAGGAACTCTGCGTCACACTCAGACACAAGTAACTACTCCTGATGGTCAGTCCAAACTTGAAGATATGTGTCCTGATGGATCTCGCACAGTATTGGCCCTACCTTCTACTAGTCCTGGCTTTGTGGTCGATACTAAACCTGATCTTCGCTTTACCCATATTCTTAACAAGGTCATCTTGGGATCCCAAGATGTTGCTCATGATCTTGACATTCTCACAATGAATAAAGTTACACACATATTGAATGTTGCCACTGGGGTAATTAATCTCTTTGAGGGCTGGTTTACATATAAAACCAAGGAAGCATTTGATGTGCCAGGATGCCGGATAATTGATATTTTTGATGAGTGTTGTGACTTCATTCACACTGCAGTTGTCTCAGGTGGATGTGTCCTGGTTCACTGTAATGCTGGAGTTTCACGCTCGGCTTCGATTGTTATAGCTTATTTAATGAGACACTATAGTATGAGTTTTGATGAAGCCTTTAGGTTTGTAAAATCAAAGAGATCATTTATCAGGCCTAATCCAGGCTTTCTCGAGCAGCTAAAAGAATACGAGACAAAATTGGCTTTGTTGTAATCATATACTGTATATACATATACGTACATATAAATACACATATACAAGTTCAATAATTACTAATAACTTTAGCACATTTTTCATTAATAAAAAGTATTCAGATTATGGATAATTTACATTTATATTACAATTAACCCCAAAAATAAAGTTATTAAATGGATAATTAATAAACAATTTGTAATTATCATTATTTTATATGATGAAAGTGAATGTTCTGAATGTAATGCAATTCTAAATTACTTTATAGAGATATACTGGATTAGGAAACTTGTAAAATATACTTGGTCATGTAATCAGGAAAAGGTTAACAGCACTGTATTTCTGGGTAACTGTTAAGACGTGGCTTAAAAAAACGTTTTTGGATGTTTAATGCATTTGTGTCATGCATACGTAGTATCTTGACTACTTTACAGGCGAGGTTAACCCTTTCAGTGTCGATCCCATAATATTACGGCTCGAGAGCCGTAATAATACTACTACAAACTTCTAGCTCCTTCATGTCTGGTGGAAGAAAGCTGGTAGGTCTACATATGAAAGATATATTACAGAAATGGAGATGATTTTGATTGGTTTCACAATGAAAAGCACCTTGAAATTGAGCTCAAAGTAGCGGAAATGTTCGATTTTTGCTGATGTTCAAGAGTAAACAAATTGCACCACACGTCCAATACATGTCAACTGGTGGGTGTAACATGCTTTAATGAATGTGCTGATATTATATATGCCATTTTTAAAATAATGCAGTAGTCTACATAACAGTAAATCATCTATTTTTTGTGAGAATAAAAATTCAAAATGGAAAGCAAGAGCAATATAAGAGGGGCCTAGAGATGTGACTAATGAACAGAGAAAATGTTATTTTAGTGCCAGGAATGTCTGCCTTGTTTATTCTGGACCCTATTTTGAAATTGGCATCTTTTGAAATTTGTGTGAAATTGGCCAAATTGCCAATTTCTGACCACTTTATTGGGTAGTTGAGATTGGTAAATGGGCAGTTTCTTGTAGTCACTCGATAGAACAAATGGAGTTCTAGCAAAATAACTATGATTTTAGTCGACTGGAACAATGGAATTGGCTGAAAATAGGGCTCAATTTGGGCAAAATCGCCAATGCGTAAATATCATCGAGATCACTAACTTCGCGAGAGTGTAATTTTGTAAGTTATCCATCAAATTTCGTACTTTTGGTGTCACTACCATTGGGAAAAGATTCTCTATCATAAGGAATTTTTTTTTTTTTTTTTTTTTTTTTTTTTTTGAAAAACTTAAGACACAGTGAGTTAACCCCTTGACTGTTGCAACCCCAAATCCTGAGGTGTCTCCTGGTGTCACAAAATTTAAACAAAAAAAACAAAAAAAATTTTCTTATGAAATGATAAAGAAGCTTTTCCCGATTGTAATGACACCAAAAGAACGAAATTTGAGGGAAAACTGATGGAATTACGCTCTTGCGAAGTTAGCAGCCTCGGCGATATTTATGAATGGGCGATTTCACCCAATTTGAGCCCTATTTTTGGCTAATTCCATTATTCCAGTCGACCAAAGTCATAGCTATTTCTTTAGAACTCCATTTTTTCTATCGATTGAATACAAGAAACTGCCCATTTACGGATTTCAACTACCCAATAACGTGGTCAGAAATTTGCAATTTGGCCAATTTTGTGAAAATTAAAAAAATATGACAATTTCAAAATAGGGTCCAGAATGAACAATGCAGACATTCCTGGCTCTAAAATAACATTTTCTTTGTTCATCAGTTATGTCTCCAGGCCCCTCTGATATTACTCTTGCTTTCTATTTTGAATTTTTATTCAAACAAAAAATAGAAGATTTACTGTTATGCAGACTACTGCAATATTGTAATAATTGTATAAATAATGTCAACCCATTCATGACTGCATTTTAGAATGGCTACTTGGACATTTATTGGAAAATGACATCATTTGTTTACTTTTGAACATCAGCAGAACTCAAACATTTTCCCTACTTTGAGCTTTATTTCAAGGTTATTTTCATAGTAAAACCAATCAAAATCACCTCTATTTCTATAATATGTTTTCCATTCTATAAAATGAGACCAAGAAAACGAGAATACAACCATAAATTCTATACGAAAATAGACCACAAAATTGGCGTTTTAATTAAAAAAAGTCGGAGTTTTTTTTCTCATTATGCACTGCGTGCTGCAGGATTTTTTTTATATGGTGCACACTGACCACACAGACCCATTCTCTCACATGTGGGCCTACCAGCTTTCTCCTGCTTGATTTGAAGCCGCTAGAACTTATGAGAATATATACATCAAAAACGGTAGCTCGTAAGACGTATATATACGACCAAAACAGTCAAAGGGTTAAAGATCAGGGGGTCCCGAACTGAAAGGGTCAAAGCCACCATTGAATGATCTTGGCTATAATATAGCTGGGGAATTTGTAATTTCCACATCAGCTACAATTATCTTTTTTTTTTTATTTGGATGACAGTTGTCCTTTAATCTTACCATTGAGCATAAATAATGTATGTGTTGCAACCTTCATACGATATTTTTGAGGGAAAATATCATATCTTTTTTTTTTTTTTTTTTTTTTTTTTGTATCTCTGCAGTGTTTCCACCCTGTATACAGCTATAATATACAGTATAGTACTATATCAAATGACAAGGCTTTCTGTGTTGCAGTACCAATTTAATAAAAATAATTGCATGGGGAAGTAGAACAGAATTCTTCCTCCGTAAGCCATGCGTGTCGTAAGAGGCGACTAAAATGCCAGGAGCAAGGGGCTAGTAACCCCTTCTCCTGTATATATTACTAAATTTTAAAGGAGAAACTTTCATTTTTCTTTTTGGGCCACCCCACCTCAGTGGGATACGGCTGGTACGTTGAAAGAAAAAGAAAAGTATTAAAAACTTGCATACAATACTTTTATCATCCATGTTGCTTCACTTAGCTTGATTAACATTAAAGTTGTGTATGTGTTGGGAAACATGCATTATATGACAATACAGAATTATGAAATTAAATAATTTGAAAATATAATTACAGTACAGCCTCTCCTCACTTAGCGACATACTCGTTTACCGATGACTCAGACTTATAATGGACTCTCTGACCAATAGGCATACCTAAATAGTGTATCTTAGAGCTGATTTCATGTATTCTGTTTATTACAATATACAGTACACTACTGTATAAACATTTAAAAATATACCACAAATGTTATAAATGATGCAAAAGTGACATTAAAACAATATCAAAGATGGTTGAAACAAACCCTCTACCATTATAGTATGCTCCTCACTTAGTGATGAATTCGTTTACCGATGTGGTCTTAGGAACGGAACTCTGTCATTAAGTGAGGAGAGGCTGTATTGCACCTATAAATAAATTGTGCACAAATAAAGCACAGTTTATATATTGCCGTCATTTGCAGAAAACAATCTTTAGTAACAGTAACAGCTTCTTTAACTTATGGAAACTACAAAAAGTTAGTACAATATGTTCATTCTATAATACTCTGTATGGTACAATGATTTTTTATCTTAGGACTACTTAATTCATACTGGGGCTGTTGGAATTGTAGATACTGTAATAGGAATTTCACTCTGAAAATGCATACAAATTTAAAGAAATATAATAGCAGTTGTAAGAATAAGATTGGTTTAAGAACTTATGGCAGTCATTACCACTGCATGCCTGAGAAGTGGATCAGGAGCTGCAAACATCACAGTAGCAAATAGCATTGCAGAAAGAAATACAAAACCTGATTGTTCATCTACATACTGTACCAGGACCAGGGTCATGGAAACAACCAAGTACTGTACCCCTTGGGCAGTGCATGAGGGAAAATGTTATTACAGCAGTGCTCAATGAGTTTTAACTATTTTGGTGAAGACAGTATGATAATCATAATGCAGATACACAGCAGAAAAAAAAACCTACTAATTAGAGGAAAAGCTTGTTGTAAACAAAAATATAATTAAACTGCTAGAAATGTATATGTATATGAATAAAGATTACAATTCAGAGTACAAATAAAAGAGAACAGGTGATATAATAGTAACAATAAACTGTTCTTTCAGCATTTTATGTACAAATATTTTTGTTAAGTTGTATTTTTTGTCGTTGTGTATCAAACCTTTTATGTCATTTGTTATTAGGTAATTTATGTTTGAGCTTCATAACCCTTAAAGGTGAATTTTTTGTTTACTGTATTATAATTTAAAAAATGTGGCTAAATGTGACATACATTTTATTTATGCATTTACAGTATCTATCAGCAGTGAAATATATTAAAGAGTAGGTCGTTCCATGCAAAGTTGCTTCATGCAATATCTCTTCCAAACATAATTATTACTGAGCTAGAAAAAAAAATCAATTTAACTTACTAATGTACATATGCTGACAAGTCTTCCTGTTATTATTTCCTGTTTCTAGTATGTAAATTCATTTTATCAACGTGTGCACTGCTTTTTAATTTTTACTCGCTCAGTTTCTCTAATTGTCATACTCTTCAAAGGGTGTCTTGATGCTGGTGATGGACTCTTCATCCAAGGAATTGGAGCTGCCATTCCTTTAGATCAAACCTGATTACCTCCTATTCTCCCTATGCTGTATAACCCCAATGGGTTTAGCTCTTTCCAAGGTATATAACAATTCAGTTGTCAGTGGATAGCTGTTACTTTCACTTTGTAGAAAGCATAGTTTTTACATTTACTAGCTACATTATATCTGCTCATTATTCATTCCGTCCATTCAGTAAGCTTGCAATCTTTTATCAGGGGATTAATTGCAGTCATGTTGCAGGTGATCCTACTTGCCTTAGCCTGAGCTCTGCAGCAGTTACAGGCTGTACTAGTCCTTCCAGCCATTTGTATTACACCTTGGTATTTGGCTCTTTGAATGTTTCGAAGAAAAAATACAATCAGCTTGGCATTTTATGGCTCAAATAATGTAAGCAATGTCATGATTTATAAAAATTGTAGAACAAATCTCAATGTATAATTCAGGTGTTGCCAATACTGCTACACAAATATTTTGTTTTAAAAGTTTCCTCTTTAATAAAAGGATTGAATATTTTAATTTTTTGTTTTATTTTACCAGTATAGTCTTTTGTACAGCAGGAGTGATGAAACATACAGTACAGTGGTCTCTTGAGTTACAGTGATCTTGAGTTACAGTGATCTTGAGTTACGATAATTCTGAGTTACAATTTACCCTCATAAAGGTATATAGTTTTGAATTGTGATGAAAAGTTTGAGATATGATTCACATCTTACAGCTGGCTTGTGTGGATGGGCCTCAGCTTGAGAGAAGACCGAGTGGGGGGATGGGGGTGGTGGGAGGGTAGAAGGGACGAAGGCAGATAAGAGGAGGTAGGGAGACTGTACATGTACCAGATGCACCAGAGAGGGAATGCCACAAGTGTGTAATTTTTTTTTTTTTAACACACCGGCCGTATCCCACCGAGGCAGGGTGGCCCAAAAAGAAAAATTAAAGTTTCTCTTTTTAAATTTAGTAATCTATACAGGAGAAGGGGTTACTAGCCCCTTGCTCCCGGCATTTTAGTAACCTCTTACAACACGCATGGCTTATGGAGGAAGAATTCTGTTCCACTTCCCCATGGAGATAAGAGGAAATAAACAAGAATAAGAACTAGAAAGAAAATAGAAGAAAACCCAGAGGGGTGTGTATATATATGCTTGTACATGTATGTGTAGTGTGACCTAAGTGTAAGTAGAAGTAGCAAGATGTACCTGAAATCTTGCATGTTCATGAGACAGAAAAAAGGACACCAGCAATCCTACCATCATGTAAAACAATTACAGGCTTTCGTTTTACACTCACTTGGCAGGACGGTAGTACCTCCCTGGGGGGTTGCTGTCTACCAGCCTACTACCTAGAAGTGTGTAAATCTTTCTTTCTTTCAACATACCAGCCGTATCCCACCGAGGCAGGGTGGCTCAAAAGAAAAAACTAAAGTTTCTCTTTTTAAATTTAGTAATATATACAGGAGAAGGGGTTACTAGCCCCTTGCTCCCGGCATTTTAGTCGCCTCTTACAACACGCATGGCTTACGGAGGAAGAATTCTGTTCCACTTCCCCATGGAGGTAAGAGGAAATAAACAAGAACAAGAACTAGAAAGAAAATAGAAGAAAACCCAGAGGGGTGTGTGTGTGTATATATATGCTTGTACATGTATGTGTAGTGTGAGCATATATATACACACACACACCCCTCTGGGTGTAAATATTAAATATTAAGTTCACAATTTTTTGCCATTCTTTGCCTGCCTTGCATTGCTCTGCCTACATTGCCTTGCCTGCCTTGCCTGTCTTGCCCTACACTCCTTCCTTTCCTGCCTCCCTAGCCCTGCACTTCCTTTCCTCCTTGCCTTGCCCTACACTTCCTTCCCTGCCTGCCTTACCCTACACTTCTTTCCCTTCCTGCCTTGCCCTACACTTTCTTCCCTACCTGCCTTGCCCTACACTTCCTTCCCTGTCTGCCTTACCCTGAGTTGTCCTGGCCTGTTCTGCCTGCCAAGGCCTGCCCTGCTTGCCTGCCTGCTCTGGCCTGTCCTGCTCTACCTTGTTCTATCTGCCCCAGGTTTAGAGGGTGTGTAAGGAAAGGAAGCTAAAAGTGAACATAGATAAGAGTCAATTGATGAGGGTATCAAATGAGTTAGATAAGGAAAAATTTGATAACCGATTGGAGGGAGGGAATATGAAGGAAGTTAATGTGTTTGGAAGTGAATATGATGGAAGTGAATGTGTTTGGAAGTGGAATTATCAGTGGGCCTGCCTTGCCTGCTTTACTTGCAATCCCCGACCTGTTCTTCCTTGCATGTAATACCACCTCGTCAGTCATTGGAGCCTGGGATGAAAAATATTCAACATCCACCTCTCACTGAACCAAACAAAATTTTGCTACCACCACTACACACAAAACTGGGGCTCATGAAAAACTGTAACAGCTATGGACAAATCTGGTAAGGGATTCAAGTATTAACATCAAAATTCCTCTCATTGAGCAATGCTAAGATAAGAGAGGGAGTCTTCAGTGGTCCTCAGATTTGATAGCTTAAAGATGATGACTTTGAATCAGACCTTCATGGGGAGGAGAAAGCTGCTTGAGAAGCAGTCAAGTTAGTGGCGAAGGGATTTCTTGGAAATAGAAGGGAAGGCAACTATGAAGAATTGGTGGAAAACCTCAACAAGGCTTACAAGAACATGGGATGTAACATGTCGCTTCAAATTAACTTTTTGGACTCGCATTTAGACTTCTTTCCAGCGAACTGTGGGGCAGGTAGTAACAAACATGGTGAAAGGTTTCACCAAGATATTGCAACCATGGAAAAATGGTACCAGGGCAAGTGGGGCACAAGAATGCTTGTAGACTATTGCTGGACATTAGCAAGAGATGATTCTTCAGCCCACTCTAAGCATCAAGCAAAAAGGCAGAGAGAAGGCACGGATTAGAGTTTAAAGCATACTGACACATATTGTACGTTATAATAAAATAATCAAATATTACATGTCTCGTATCTTTAAACCTATAGCCAATAAGCATTTTTCAAGGCGATATTTGGATTCAGGACATGAAAATACATAAGAATTAACTAATCTCATTTTAGAAGCATACAACTTTTCAAAATTTGTTGACCAGTGAATTAGTATACATTTTTATTATTATTCTTATTTTTTTCTTTTCCAAAAGGTCTTTTTTAAGTTTTAAATCTTTATCAAGTCACTGACTTAAAGTTCTACTTAGGACAAAACATTGTTTAATGAAAAGGTTCTCTCTGTAACGTGTTTAAAATTCTTGTAGTATGTCGGGAAATGTCTCTAAATGTTAAACAGTGATGAGGAGAACACCTCTTACTACGGTATTTCTTCCTTTCTGTCTACTTGTAAAAATGTACCAAACATAATGACAGGAAATATGTATCAAACATATGACAGGAAAATCAACTCTACCATTAACTTCCCTCCAGGAAGGTACCTTGATACCAGTGGCTCTTACTATTACGTACTTGGACCAGTCTTGCGTTTCCTTGGATCAAACTTGATTGCCTTCCATTTCCTCAGCTGCTGTATAACTTCTATGAGTGTAGCATTCCTCCCATGAATATAATAATCTATTAGTGACTCTCAATTCACAACAAAATATAATGGTAGGGGAAACAACTATTTAGTTTATTCAGGTATACACAAATAGTTACATATATTATCATACACAGCAGCATATAGATAATGAACCTAGGATAACCCAAAAAGTCAGATAGAGTGACTTATTTCCATTAGGGTGCTTTACCTATTTTCAGGTTGAGAAGCAGCCCTTGTGGCTTAGCGCTTCTTTTTGATTATAATAATAATCAGGTTGAGAAGAAGTGAGGCCAGACTAGGGTAGCCACGAGAGAATGATGCAGCACTTCAATGTAAGGGGAACCAGATGGATAAAATATCCATTCTGGACTCAAAAGTTGGTATGGTTGTGCCTGAGAAGCTAAATGAATCAACTAAGTGAAGGCAGTGGAGTGCCATGAAGGTAGTGGAGTGCCATGATGGTAGTGGAGTGCCATAATGGTAGTGGAGTGCCATGAAGGTAGTGGAGTGCCATAATGGTAGTGGAGTGCCATGATGGTAGTGGAGTGCTATGATGGTAGTGGAATGTCATGATGGTCATGGAGTGCCATGATGGTAGTGGTGGAGTGCCATGATGACAGTCATCATGATAATGAAGTGCCATGATGGCAGAGTGCCACGATGACAGTGGAGTGCCATGGTAGAAGTATATGCTTAACATCCAGGACTGTATGTACTTAACATCTAGGACTGTGTGTACTTAACAAGGTCAACAAGTGCAAGGACACATTACCAGCGGTTACACTCGTGCCGAGATCAAACCCGGGTCCCTCAGCTGTGAGCCAAAGGTGATATCACATGAGCCAGGAATCACCTAATTTCTGATTAAAGACTCACGAGGTTCCATGTAGGGGCTTATCATTCTTTGAAAAATGCCTGTAACTGCATCCTCAAATTTGCGGATAGTACTGAGATTTATCGCAACCAAGGACAATACTATTCATATGGAAAATAATCTTTCTTAAACATACTGACAAATGAATTTAACAATGTGTGTGAAAGTGCAAGACAAATATATTTACGGCATCTCATGAGGGCCTGGTGATTAAAGTTCTTGCTTCACACGGCGAGGGCCTGGGTTCAAAGTTTATTCTCTATAAGGATTACAATGCTGAGTTTACAGAAATTTGGTTATTGTGTGGTTTACATGTAGTAAAGTAGTGATTACAGAGTGTACCACTAGAACGCTTAGCATGGCTAGGCATTTCGGGCAGTGTTTCTTTCAACCTATTGTCTATGTTGACCATCAGTAAAATGGGTACCTGGGTGTTAGTCGACTGGTGTGGGTCGCATCCTGGGACAATGACCTAATTTGCCCGAAATGTTCAGCATAACAAGGGACTTTCTATATAGTAGTATGTCACTGATGTCAGCTAGGACTGTATACCTTGTACATGTACTGGTAGTAAATAAAGATATTATTATTATTATTATTGTTATCCATGGGACAAATATTCAAATAAAATTATTTTTATGGAAATGGACCAGCAAGGGAGAAAATTATATATATATAATATATATATATATATATATATATATATATATATATATATATATATATATATATATATATAATATATATATATATATATATATATATATATAAAGAAATGCTAGGACTCAAAAAATATCTTGGAACAGGGACTAGCAGCGCTGAATGATCCACAAGTCTCACACAGAATGATCCACAAGTCTCACGCAGAATGATCCACCGGCTGGGTTACAAGTATCTTTGGCAGGTTAAATCACCACCACCAGATGTAGACCAAACGAAATGTAAACTTTGCCAGATGGATTATTGTCACACCCTGCGTCATTATGTACTGGAGTGCGATAAAATTAATGAATTTAGAAACAACTCACTCAGAAGTGTTCAAGAAATGGCTAAGTATTTTATCCACAGTGGTATATTGCAGACCATTCTGGAGAAATACCCT